GCTTTATACATAAGAAGGCACTATTTCCTTTTAAAGTGCAAATCCAAATAAAGACAAGAAAAGGGGAAGAAGGGTTGAAGAAATTCTCTTTTTCTCTGTCACCTCTGGAGGAATACAAAACAGTCTTCATAGTCTTTATGGTAGAATAAAATCTACAGGGCACTCAATGATCATATATCAATTTCCTTGAAGTTGGAAAACTTAAGGTTAATTTTTACTCTGTGTACCAGTACACATTAATTCCATGCAAATACACACATATATGCACACACAGATCATTTTATTGTCAGATCTCAGCAGCACAAGAAATGCTGGAGGAAATATGGAAAGAGCGTGGGAAGGAAGGAGAAAGCCTGCTGTACTTATGGCATAACAGCTGCGGATCTCCACCATTCAGGTGCTTCCCATCTGTTCCTGGAAAACCAGGGCTGGACTGGTGGGGCGCAGGTGGGAGACCTCCCAGGAACTCCCCTGGTGATAGTCTTCCTTAGGGGTGTCTCCTGTCCAGGGCATCAGAGTCACTGGTCTACCAGAAGTTACGTTTTCAGCTCAGGCCAGGGTTTTGGGGTCACTCTTGGCTGAGCACATTAAAAATCATATTTTCCATCTCTCTCAGGTGATGTGAGATATTTCAAGGCCAAAAAACACTTGTTCTTTTCACTGCTTCCTAGTCAACTGAACACTTTCTACAGTTTTATTTAAACATAAGACTCCTGTAAATGACTGTGTAGTATGGCTCTTATGTGTACTGTCTGTGAAATGGACTTTGGATGATGAATAAAGGAGTGGCCCAGGTCTAGATCCAGTTGCCAGGTCGTTAATGTGTCACTGCGTATCATTTTTCATGTTTATGAACTAGAAATAACATACCTTCCCTGTATTCACCTACTGTAAAAGTAAATGAGTGAGCGTGCCAGGGTGGTACCTCTTGGCCGTTTTCCATGTGAGAATCCTTTCCATCAAATGAAAGGATAAAGTCTTGATAAATTGTCACTAAAATTTCTAGACAACGATACAGTAAGAACTGAACCATTCTTTGGCCCAAAGATTATTCATATAAAGTTACAACAAGAGGTGACAAGAAAAGCATGAGATGTTCTGCAAATGTTTCATAATGTGTGTCATGAGCGTTGTAATATATCAGTGAGATATATTGATGGGGTGCTTTTGAACTGCAAGGTGTGACCCATTAGTACATCATGAAATCAATTCAGTGGATCATGAACAGTCTTTAAAAAAAATAAGAAAAGAATGGAGCAATAAAATAGACCAGAAGAAAAATATCAGAATGTAGTACACATCGTAAGAATAATTCTTGTTTTGTGAAACTTGGTTATGAAGTAAAATATATCTATTTTGGGGGTCATGGTTGAAAAATTAGAAAGCCCTTATATTAGAGAATGGAAGAGACCTGTTCCTCAGTGCCAAAATGAGAAAGGAAATTTGAAATTGGATGTCACCATTGTCATTCAGGGCTGTAGATGAAGCCCTTATCCTGCTTCTCCTGGGAGAAGGGGTGAGGGTAGAGGAACTGGGGGACACATTTTGGTCTGTGGCCAATGCTCTTACAAAAAAACAACAATTAATTGTTTTAAAGTCTGGCAAAAAGGGCATCAGAGCAATCTGTGTTTGTTTTCTATAGCTGCATAACAAACTACCACCAACTTAGTGGTTTAAAACAGCATCCATTTATCGTCTCAGTTTCTGTAGCTCAGAAATCTGGGCCAAGGCAGAGTTAGGTTCTCTTCTCAGGGTCTGACAAGGCTGAAATGGGCCACAACTGACCACTAATGCTGGGTTAGCCTCTTGCCTTATGCTTTGGCAGCCTAAGTGACCATCTTCATCAGCAGGATCCAAGGTGGCCCCTGGAAGGTCCTCCTGCCTTAGAAGATCTTCTCTCCCCATCTCCCAAAACTCCTACTTAAGATTCATTCTCTACCCTTTCCTCTCCGAACCCTTCTACAACTATAAGCAAACAATTACATGAGTAATTATTTAATAACTTATTCACTAGAATGTAAGCCGACTTGTAACAGGCATGTAGTGTGAGCAAGAAATAAATCTCTGCTCTTATAAGTCACTAAGATGTTGGGGGCGTTTGTTAACTGTAGCATAACACAACCTATCTTCATATAGAAACGCTAGGAGAAAAGAATGAGTTTAATATTTGACTGCTAAGGGATTTTGTGCTTGTGGGATTTCTGGTGGCGATTACTAAAGTCTTGCTGCTCAAAGTGTAGTGACAGACCGGTAGAAGCATCACCTGGGAGCTTGTTAGAAATAGACTCTTGGGCCCCACACGAGACCTACTGAACCAGACTCTGCACTTTAACAAGGTCTCAGGTGATTCAAAAGCGGATTAAAGTTTGAGAAGCAGTGGTCTAGAGACAGCTGGAAATGAAATTCTGAAGCACCTGAAATAAATCTGAGCTTGAGGTGTCACAGAGAAAGTGATCTACACACCACGGCTTCTCAAAGTGTGGCCCCTGGACCAGCACCTGGTGACATTTTAGAAGTGCCAATTCCTGGGGCTCAACCAAGCCATACTGAATTGGAAACTCTGTAAGTGGGGCCCAGAAACCTGTGTTTTAACAACCCTCTAGGAAATTCTCATGGACAGTAAAGTTTGAGAACTACTGCCATATGTCAATGATAGTTGAAATGACAGCAGTTAATTCTCTTCCTCCTGAAAGAAGGAAGAAAGGAAGGTACCGACAAATTATAATATTGTTCCCATGAGAAAATACAATCTGCTTCATGATAATGTTCTTTATGATGTATCTTCTAGAATGCAAACTGGGAAGATGAAGGCCTGGCCAGGGACTATGTTCACCACCATGGTGGTGACCTCTCACATCTGCTTTTCTATCAGGTGCTTACTAGCACATAGGACATGCTCTGGGTAAAGAGGAAAGGAAATTAGATGAAGGGAACAGAAAGGGAAGGGGGCACCAAAAATCTACTTTGCTTTTGCCTTCCGGGTCCTGTAGGGCCTTTTTACACTCGGAGAGCTGTGATAAATGCTACAGGGGACATTTCTAAGTGCATGCCTACCTCGGAACCAATCTCTCTACCTTTTATCAAGAATGCAGTAGAGGAATAGAGGAAAAGGGGAAATTGTAGATATTATAACCAAGAATCTGCACAGCCACATGCTAAGCCACACAATATCCCTGCCATGACTCACTTTGGGATGCCACAGTCCCAATGCATTCATTCATTTGTTCAAACGTTCATCCAATATTTAGTAAGTGACATTTTTGTGCAAGGCCTGCAAGGCCAGTGGAGAGGCCTCTTGTTCTGGTCTTAGAGAAGGGACTGAGTGGAGCTCCAGCCAGGAAAGTCAGGGTTCTTCCTCCACCTGAGACTCTCAGTCGAAACCACCTCTCTCTTTCCACTTCAATCACAGAAAAGGCAGGCTAAGGCTGAACCTAGAATGCATCACACATTGTGAGTTCCTAGTTTCACTTTTCTCTTTTGCAAAGCAGAAATTGTGAAGGCCAAGGAGGAAAATGCACGCACAGTAGAGTACGGAACACTTCCATCCCTACAGAGCCTCCTGCCTTGGCTGTGTGCTGGCTCCTTATTTCACACTGGGGGAAGTGATACATCCGTCCTGTGTGGGGCCAACAGCTCTGGTTCAAGTTAGAATCACTGTGGAGCCCTCAGCCCTCTCAAAGCTGAGGCCACTGCTCAGACGAAGTAAGTCAGAAGCCCTTGGGTGGGACCCAGGGGCCCTGATATTAAAAAAAAAAAAAAAAAAAAATTCCCGGTGGTTCCACTGTGCAGGCAAGACTGGGAACAACTGTTCCAGAGAGGGTCTGGGGTCCCAGGTCTTGCCCCTTTATGGAGTTGAGCATCATTTCCTGAAGGTCAAAGTCCTGGATTCCCAGGATTCTCAGCTCAAGTTCTTCAATTTCAGGAGTTTGTTTTAGAATTCAAAGTGAGCTATTACATTTAAGCTCTTGTGTTATAATGAATATTCGGTTTATCTTTTTTGTTTATATAATTGTACCAAACTTCAGATGGAGAAGATTTAGCCAAGAGAACAATTTTTATTTTTTATTATCTAACAAGGAATGCTAGTAGGGGATCTACTTCTTAATGAATAATTTCATTCATTACACAATCAGCAAGGTTAAAACTTTTTTATGAACCCTTGGTAGAGGGAACGCAGTTATTTGCATGATACAATGGCAGTGACCTGGGCATGTGGTGGTGGGATGTGGGTTTAAAGAAGGGGAAATATACAGTGGCCCGGGAAAGGAGAAGGACCCCACCAATCATCACTTAGCTCTTAACATCCACTATTGTCATTTTTATTCCTTTATATATTAAAATTTACTCTGGACCATTCGTGGCAATGTTAGGTCATGGTAGGTAATGTTGTTGCACTTAGTATCAAATCCTCTAATATCTCTAAATATCTAAAACCTGAGACAAGTTAATCCATAGTCACGGTGGCCAAGAAAGGAGATGTGGAATATGCCTAAGTACTTACAGATTCATGAAGATTCTCTCCAATTTTGATGACTTGAGGACCAGCAGCATGGGCACCACCTAGGAGCTTATTAAAAAGTGGTATCTCGGTGCATATTTCTGGCCCAGTGAATCAGAAACTGCAAGGAAGCTCCCTAGATGGTTCACAAACTCAAGATATTGGAGAAACATTGATTTAGCCTATCTACGCTATTTACGAGACAGGAGCTAATCAAATTCAATCATAGAACTTACAGATGATCATAGATGTGAACAGAGTTTGATAACAAAGCAACGCAAAATCGGAACTCAAAATTAGTAGTAAACACGTCCATGATTATGACGAGGTTGCGAGACTAGCAATGTTCCATGCCATGATCCGGACTAGAGGCAGAACCTACGTGCGCCCTAAGTCTCATTTTCAGGATGTCTCTCACAGTCATTGGTTGTGTCGCTTCCTTGTTTTCTGTCCTGTGCTGCCCGTTACCCTGCCGGCCCTGTCTCTCAGGGTATACTCTTACCTCTTGAGGTTGTTGGTACTGAGAGGCCATCAGAAGGAAAGCCCGCTGGGCCTGGAAAGCACTGTGCACCATTTCTGCCTGGAAACAAAGAGGAAGATGGCGGTTTCAGTGTTTGAACTCCATAGGAAGAGCTCGGAAGAGTTACCATATGATCCAGCCATTCCACCCCAGCTACCTACCCAAGAGAAATGAAAACATATGTTCACACAAAGACTTGTAAATGAATGTTCACAGCAGCATGATTCATAATAGTTAAAATGCAGAAACAATCTGAATGTCTATCAACTGATTAGTGGATAAACAAAATGTGATATATCCATACAGTGGAATATTATTTTGTATTAAAAAGAGATGAAGTACCGGCACATGCTACAACATAGGTGAACCTTGAAAACATTATGCTGAGTGAATGAAGCCAGTCACAAAAGAGCACATTTGTAGGATCCCATTTATATGAAATGTCCAGAATAAGCAAATCTATAGAGACAGAAAGTAGATTAGTGGTTGCCAGGGGCTGGCGGGAGGGAGGAATGGGGAATGAACTGCTAATGGATATGGGATTTCTTTTGGAAGTGATGAAAATGTTCTGGAATTAGATAGTGATGATGGCTTCACAACTTGGTGAATATACTAGAAACTACTGAATTGTTCACTTTAAAAGAGTGAATGTTATGATATGTGAATTATATCTCCATTAAGCTGTTAAAAAATGTTTGAGCTCCAAACCTTCTCCATGAAGATGTGCTCACTGAGAGCCAGGGCTTTTATGACTACTCATTAGGACGGATTTTTTGGTGCCGTTCAGGACCCCGGTAGAATGGGCCCCACCTGGGCTCAATCCCCCCTAATGCCCCAAGGATTTGTGCAGGTAGAATGCCCTCAGACACACATTCTCTTACCCACACCCTCAACTCAATCTGAACTAATTCTTTACTTTTTTAAATTTAAAAAAATTACAGAAGGGTACCAAAAAGAAAATAACTTCAAATGCCCATATCAGCCAGAATTAACCATTTTTGGCATGTTTTTTCTAGTTTTTAAGAAAATTCACACAGTTGTTTTCACAAGATAATGCATACTGATTTAGAAAGATTTGTTTAAATGCAGAAAGCTCCAAAAATGGAAGTTTTAAAAAAATGCCTCACAACCTAGAAATAATTGTTATTAACATTAGATGAACATCACTGCAATCCTCTTTTAAAAACATATATGTAGAGAGACTTATAAAATGGGACCATACCTAGTGCTATTTTTAAAAATAAAAAGCATGCATTTTAATTATGATTGAATAGTAAAGATGAAAAAAAAAAAAGAACTGTAAAAAAAAGAACTTTAACAAGTTCAAAAAAAAAAAGTTTCTGCACTATAATAGTTATCAGGTCCTAAATCATCATTCTAAGGTAAGAAAGATTATAAAATCTTAAGAGATTGGAATAATTATGTGTTTGCATTTTAAACAACATGTTATGATTTTAGACAGTACTGATCGACTTCTTGCTGGGAAATATGAGTACTAAGTATTCTCACATGTTTTTCCATTTCTCATCTCTCTTCTTCCATATTTTTTCATTATTATTTTTATTTTGCCCAATTGATAGCATTCATATTCTATCTGTAACATGGGTTTCCATAGTTATTTAGTATTAATTCTACATTTAAATAAACCCAGTGGTTCTCACCTGGGCTCCTCCATTTCTGAGTTATTCTGATTTTTTTTTTATTGGCTGGACCCTCATTATCAGGTATTTTCTTCAACAGGGTCTCAAAGTTGCTTTAGTTCTTTCAGATTTAAGCACATCTTTCTATTTTAACAACATCTTGGATGGACATAATATCCTTGGGTCACTTTCCTAGAAGTCTGAGCTCAGCTTGATTTTTTTCCTCCCCTGCAGGAAATTAACTTATTCTTCTTTGATACATGAAGAATTATTTCTTTGTCCTTCAGGTTTAATAGCTTAACCAAGATATGTTTGGGTTTTGAGCATTCTATATTAATATTTGCTGGAATATATTTGATTCATTTTTCATTTCTGGGAAATTTTCTTATGTTATATCTTTCAATACATCTTCTGTTCTGTTTGTTAGAGTCTATATACAGGAACTCCAATTATTATCCTTAAATTGTATAGTATTTGAGTGTCTTCATATCTTTTAGATTCTGTCTTTAATTTCCTTGTCTGTCATCTCTATTCACCATGATTCTATGAATAGTTTTTTCTATTGTTAGTAAACAAATTTTCAATAGGTCTCATATATGTTAACATTTCTAATTTACTCATATATCATTTCTGCATTAATGTTGTTTTTAATTCTTGACTTGTTAGACTTTCAATTCCTCTTTTCATTTCATTCTTACTGTTTTACCACCTTGTCTTTAAGCTATTTCAGAAATAATTTTATACTCCTGTTAAGTTCTAAGAGTGTAAGTTATACTCTTAAAAGCCATTGTGAGGAACCTGTTTCTGTTTCTTAAGTTTTATTTTCTTAAAGGCTGAGCCCACATCTTTCCACTCTGCATGCTGTGTTCCTGACACATTGTTTGTAGCTGCCATGCTGATTCTTTTCTTCTTGCTCATGCTTGATCAGCTCTGTCCAGATGCTGTAGATTGGATGCCCCTCCAATCTTAATCTCCACCAATAACTAACTGTTGAGGGTGGGAAATCTTATGGTAATTGAAAGGTGGGGCCTTGAAGTGGTGATTAGATTCTGAGGACCATGCCCTAATGAATGGGTTAATAATGGTGGTCATGGGTGTGGTTCTGAGGGCTTTAAAAGGAGAGTGAATGAAGAAGTTAGTCTCTCTCTCTCTCTCTCTCTGCTCCACTATCTTTGCAATGTGATACTCTGCTGTCACTGTCACCACCACCAAGACTCTCACCAAATGTGTTCCCTTGACTTTGGACTTCCCAGCCTCAGAAACTGTAAGCAATAAATTTCATTTTCTTTGTAAATTACCCAGTTTCAGGTATTTTGTTATAAGCAACAGAAATGGACTAATATACCAAGTATTTTAATTTTCTGATAAAATGGGGGATTCCTTGAGTCTTTTGCCACCATAGCCGAGATCAGTTTCTCTTTCCTTTCAAGCTGCAGTTTGAGAGCTAAATGCTTTGTGCTCTGTCTACTCTTCTAGGGCTTGATGGAGCACAAAAAAGGGAAAGAAAAAACTCAGCTGAGGTGATGACCAGTCTTTGAGTCTTTGTGCTGCTCATTCTTCCAGAAGTTTGCTAAATGACCTAAACCAGGATTTACTCCACCTACTTAAAGCATATGCCATTTGGATGAAGTTGTCCCCTCAGATTCTACATTATCTATTAAATTCAGAACCTAGACACGGGGCCGGCCCGGTGGCGCACTGCTACAGTGCGCCGCTTGGGAGCACGGCAGCGCTCCCGCCGAGGGTTCGGATCCCACATACAGACCGGCCGCTCACTGGCTGAGCGAGGTGCGGGCGCAACACGGAGGGTTGTGATCCCGTTGCTGGTCCCGGTCCGGTACAGGCGCGACACTGAGGGTTGCGATCCATTGCCGGACACGAAAAAAGACAAAAAGGAAAAAAAAAACCAAAAAAACAGAACCTAGACATGAAGCCTTTGCATCTACAGAGAGGAGTCCCATGGTTTTCTTCTCTTGTTCATATTCTCCTTTGCTGATTTCATTTTCTCTAAGGTACGTCTTTAAGGATTGGGGAAATGGGGACAGAGTTAGGAACCAAAACCCACTGGGCCATCAGTTTCTGACTATATTGCTTTAGGTTATGGCTACTTTGTTTGGTTACTGTTAGTGAATCTTTAACCCTTTTTTTTACTCATTTGTGGGGAGGGAAAAATTTTGCGATGCAGTTTTATTTGACCATGACTTTATATTCTTTTACACTTATCTATTTCATCTTTAATCTCCTCCTTGCTGGCCTCACATCTGTTGGGGGGAGTTTCTATCTCTCTGCCATCTTTGGATATGATTTATTTCTTTGATAGATTGGTGAGAACCAGCTTCATACATTTTCAAAAACAGACACCTACAATAATAACAAGAAGATTAGGTTAATTTCATCCCAGTCTCAATATCAGACAATATTCTGGGCTGGAAGAGTAAATGTGTTAACTGGGAAATGACTAGTTTTTGCCATTCCACTTCATTATCATGTTTTGGGCATCTGACAAATTTTTGAAAACATTTACTGAAATGAACACCTTAATTTTATTTCTAGTTTTCCTCATTACTTCTCATCCAAGGATCTTTTTTTTCCACTAAGAAAAAAATGCTTGAAATCAAACAAAGATTAGTAGACCATTTACATTTAAAATCACAAATTCTTTTTTTTAAACTTCCTTTTTTATTGACACATTGGTTATACACATTTGTGGGGTACAGAGGCGAACATCAACATGTGTATACAATGTGTGATAATCAAATCAGGGTAATCAGCATATTCATCATTACAAAACTTAACCATTTGTGATGAGGACATTCAATCTCCTCTCTTCTATTGTAGATTATAGACTATTGTAAATTATAGCTGCCTAGCTCAACTGTACACCCACGGAACTTATTTTTCCTATCTAGCTATGTGTGTCCATTAACCAACCTCTAACTATCCTTCTAAAATCACAAATTCAATCATCAACCACATAACAGATTCAGTCTCCTGAATGTTTAAATGAGGGTGTATTTTTCTCAAAGCCATTTTGGAGTACACCATCTTCTCGTCTCTTTGTCCCAGTAGTGTGATTGCTGGGACTTTATTGCTCAAAATCTCAAATTTTGGGTATTGCTTAGGGAAAAATAAATGATTTTCAAATTTCACCATCCTGGAAGCCATTATGACTTTATGAATGTGAATCTCTGAGCTGCATGAGTATTTTTCCATGTACCAAAGCATATATTTTCAGTGATTTGGAAGGACTTCTGTCGGTCTCCAATAATCAATCACATTTTCGAAGAGGAGACTATGGAATACAATTTTCCACAGCTTGGATATAAATAAAATAACTGCAATTCTCCCAGCAACAATAGTACGGAGGTATTGTCCTCATCTATGACAAGCCTGGCAGAGTCGACTGAATTATAGTTGCTG